TTCCAACCTTATTCCCAGCTCGAAATTTGCTGACATGTGCAAATATGACATGCCCCCCTTCGCCGTGCTCCATCCCCCCACCCCAACCCCCCAGTCCATCAGACCCCCATACGGATGTACACACAGGAGGACGTTGGTATCGATTTTGGGGGTTGGGAGTCAGCCTGATTGGAAAGTGGCGAAGAACACAACGTGCCTCTGCCCGGCGGTGCACGGGGACTGGCGGGTGTTCCTGCTTTTGGCGGGAACATCATTTCTTTCTGAAAATTTTACCTACAGGGCCTAATCTACCCCTACAAGCCATCTACAAGGCCAGGTCATCATGACCCACTGGACAGCTACTGGACCCTTCTGGGCCTAGCCAACTTACGGGAATATCCCTACCGGGTCTCTAACAAATTCTAGTTATGTCCCTGCGCAACCCTCTATATTCTCAGTATGCCCCTATGACTAACTTTCCACCCTATCCTTGATGCTACCCCAATTTCTATCTTGTCCCTGTCTGTCCGAGACACACACACACAGACAACATGGCCCCAAGGTTAGCGCACCAGACTCGGACTGGGACCCAGAAATCAGCAGGCAAGCAGACAGCATACGTACATCATCGGCAGGTCACATGCATACTCAGAAAACACAGCAAACAGACTCAGAATCAGAATTCTCAGCAATCACCTCAGTCTGAGTAGCGGATGAGAACTTCGGCGGTGTGAAGTTGAGGTGTTGCTGGGAGGGAGGTGATTTCGCCATGATAATAAAACTCATGTCATCTTCTTCTTCATTTCATTCCATTGATTTCTCTGAAGGACCTGTTTTGTTAAAAACAAAGCAAAAAAAAAAAAAAACAGAAAGATCAAAAGGACAGTGTTTTCTCAGAAAAGTGCCGTATTGTCAGACTGGAATGTGTGGGTCATTGCAAGGAAGAAGAAGGAAGACAAAAGAAGAGGAAGGAAGAAGGAAGAGAAACGAAAAGGAAGGAAAAGAAGGCAGAGAAAAGAAAGGGAAGGAAGCGGGAAATAATAAAGAAGGAAGAGAAAAGAAGAGGAAAGAAGAACGAAGAACGAAGAAGGAAGAGAAAAGAAGAGGAAGGAAGAAGGAAGAGAAAAGAAGAGGGAGGAAGAAGGGGAGAAGGAAGAAGGGGAGAAGGAAGAAGGGGAGAAGGAAGAAGGGGAGAAGGAAGAAGGAAGAAGGGAGAAGGGAGAGGGGAGAAGAGGGAAGAAGGAATTGCATCCAAGATGATCGAATAATGTGCATGAGGCATTACATACCGAAGATCACATACAAAGTTCACAGCAGACAAGCACATAGTGGTGGCACATTCCCCTTCTTGCCTCAATCTGCTTAGGACGACGACGACGATGACAACGACAACGATGAGGAAGACGACGACGACGGCGACGACAACAACAATGACGACGACGACGACGACGACGACGGCGACGACGACGACGACGACGACGAAGAAGAAGAAGAAGAAGAAGAAGAAGAAGAAGAAGAAGAAGAAGAAGAAGAAGAAGAAGAAGGAGTGGTTCCTCCTGCAGATCACATTGTGATGGCAATTGCACCACAATTTATCATCTGTTAAAGCTGACCATCTCCTGACTCTGCTAGAAGTTTCTTTTGACTTCATTATTTAAGACACCGCAATTTGAGTCAACGTTACCATAATGCTAGTTTGGATGCTTTTTTGTCAAGTTGTTAACTCATGTTATCCTGTTTTCAGAGTCGCTGATGTACAAGGTGACGACTGTTGTGCTCCTGTGCTTCATTTTGTTCAGCAAAAAGAGAGCTGGATGATCGCTGAGAAAGCAAAGAGGGAAGCATGGGCGACCAACAAAGCCAAGGAACTGAAGGAGGTCACAATCAGAGGGTTGGAGCCACATATCCAACGGCTCATGCAGGCAAGCACGCACAAGCAGAGATCCCATCATCAATCACCCTTGCGTCTGCTGCATACTGATGCAAGAGCTTCCAAGTTCCAACAGATCAATTCTGAGATTAAAAAAACTGGAAAAGTTGGGAAAAAAGAAAAACAACAATGCAAAATTAACTTAATTAAACTCAAATAAAGACATTTTTTTTAAGTCTGTTTTTTTTTAGTCTAATAAACTAAGGCTGCTGGAGTTAGTCCTGAGCCTACATCAGGCTGCTGGAGTTAGCCCTGAGCCTACATCAGGCTGCTGGAGTTAGTCCTGAGCCTACATCAGACTCTCAGCGTGGTCCGCCAAATGAATGACATTTTTCGGTTGGCGAAAAGGAGGGAGGGAGGCGTACCATGTATTCTCAAACATTCCCCTTGGCCAAAAAAAGTATAGCGATACTAGCAAAATGAAAAAGAAAAGAAAACCCAAACATCGCTTTTCAGTTTAAACTTTAAAGCATTCTGCCTCCCTCTTCTTGTGGTCATCAATTTTTCACCCTCATCAAAATGCAGACTTACCTTCATTCACATTGACCGATGTCACGATGTGGAGCGAAGACGCAGGTCTCATTCCGCTTTGCTTGTCCAAACGTCCAAAGATTCCGAAGAATCCAAACACGATATTTCATTCGTCTTTCCTGATTCGAACACAATGTTTTCATTTGGCTTTGGTGATCGAAACACAATGTTTCAAGACCATCGAATGGAGTATTCTGTTTGTAGACCAAATCGATTTGGAGGCTTTTGGAGCAAATAAACAGGACGAGGGTGCAAAAGCAAAAGCTACAAAACATGTTTCTGAATTCAAACTCGTCTTCCTGTCACTTTGTCATGCCTGCAAACAGCGGTACAGCAACTGGCGACATGCGCCCACACAGTACTCAAGATATCGTAACCAGATATGAGTTCTCTTCAACTGGCTATGGCGACTG